ATGTGTCAGGTACTTTGTCAGGTACTCCCTGCCAGAGGGTCGTTAATTTCAAGGTCCCACTGTTAGGGGAGTTCATATCCACTAGTCCTGCCAGATGGTCATTATCTCAGGGTCCCATTTGGGGAATTCCTGAACAGGGACTAAAAAGAAAATGTACTGGTTTGTTCTTTATTTATGACCACAGACCTTGTCCTGGGGCCAATATCTGGACTGAGATTTTTGCCCAATTCCTTATTTCCAGGGAGGGGGTTGGTGCTAGCGCAAGCAAGTTTACAAAAGCAAAATCAGCAGTTAGCAATTGTAAAATGTAACTCTAATTTTTAATCTTTCAGTTAATTGGAGATAAGAGTCTCATGAGGATTTTTCTGCCCAGGTTGGCTTCGAACTGTGATCCTCAGATTTCCCTGAGTAGTTAGGATTACAGGCATGAACCTTGGGCACCCAGCAAGAACACATTTCTTCTTAGGCAATGTCAGACTTTCCATCATTGTCTCCTAGTTTTTCTCTTCTATCCCCACCCACAAGTTGTATAGTTCATTTTCAACATACTGTCCAGTGAGTACCACTGCTGCATTTGCTCACCCTTTGTCCTTCCATTTCTGTGTTCCCTGCTTACCCTCCCAAAGACAGATAAATGAATAAACAAGACAAAAAGAAAACAAAAACAAATACAGTAAGAAAACAAAACTCTGTTTCTATTCCAAACTCTATTTTTACAAGCTCACCACATAGCTTAACTTTGAGAACTGCCAGTTTAAACTAATCAAATTCACTTCCTAGTACTAGAACCTTCTTCAAATCTCATGACTATCATATATCTGAACAAAATCATGTTCTTACCTAAGAAGAAAGGGAAATACATGGTTGTGAAATAGAACAGAACTCAGATCATAAAACCAAGTCAAAGGAGCCAAGCACCTGTGGCTCATGCCTATAAGCCTAGTCTGAGTCTCACTGTTCTAAGCCAGCCCAGATAGGAAAGTCCATGAGACTCTTATCTCCAATTAACTACCAAAAAAAGCCAGAAGTGGAGCTGTGGCTCAAGTGGTAGAGCACTTGCCTTGGGCCAAAAGTTCAGGAACAGTGTTCAGGCCCTGAGTTCAAACCCCAGGACCAGCACCAGGGGAAAAAAGTTGTCTTCTTGGTGTGGTGGTTAATACCTGTATCCTCTCAGAAGGAATTCTAGGCAGGAGGATGGAGAGTTTGAAGCCAATCTGTGTTGCATAGTGAGACTTAGTTTCTTAATAAAAATTTTTTAAAAAGGAAAATGTTGAGTGGTATATGCCTGTGTAGTCGTTATAAAAACCAAATTGTAAATGTATTAATAATAGTTTTATATAATACATAAAAATAACAAAAACAGGGCTGGGAAGGTGGCTCAGTGGTAGAGCGCTTGCCTTGCATGCATGAGGCCCTGGGTTCGATTCCTCAGCACCACATAAGCAAAAAGAAAAAAGCTGGAAGTGGTGCTGTGGCTCAAGTGGTAGAGTGCTAGCCTTGAGCTGAAGAGCTGAGGGACAGCGCCCAGGCCCAGAGTTCAAGCCCCATGACCAGACCCCCCAAAAAAAAAAAGCTTGATAAATATGTAGGGATAGATATATTAACATGAACATGATTGAATTCAGAAAGTTCTGGAGTGAGATATACAAATTTGCCAGAGGCTACCCTCTGAGGAAGGGTATGAAATTGGATGATCAATGTCATTGCCACCTTCACTTTATTTACATTTGAACTACTTCACATTTTTTTAAAAGAATATACCAGAGGTTATTTTGTGTGTTTTCAAACAAAAAATGGTTTAAGGCAACAAAGGAATATATTGATGATAGGAACAAGGACTGAATCTCTTGGGATGGTTCTGAGACTGACTCACGCTCTGCATTGATGAGTTCCTAGCACCTCATCCCTCTTGCCTACCTTTCCTCTCCCCCTCTCTTCCCCCTCCTTTCTCCTGCCTCCTCTGCCTCCTCTCTTCTCCCTCTTTCTCTCCCTCTCCTCCCTCCCTCTTCTCTCTCCCCTTCTCTCTCCCTCTCTCTCTGTCATACATTAGCCATACAAGAGGGGACTTCATTGTGACCTTTCCATGCATTTATACTACACATTCTAATCAACCCCCTCTATAACTCTCCCTTACCCTCTTCTTGCTTCCTAATACAATTTCAAAAGGTTTCATTATTCTGTGTTCATACATGTCAACAATCTATCCAATCTTTCCTTCATATCCAAAAGAAAGGCATTGATAAACAAAACAAACAGTATTTCCATTTATCTTTCAATACTGAGATTTGAACTCAGAAGCTTTATGCTTCTTAGGCAGGCTCACTACCACCTGAGCCATACCCCTACATTTCTTTTTGATGTTACCCTTTATTTTCCTAGTAGATAAGATTCTGAATATTTTACAAAATGTTCAAACAGGGGGGAAGATGGGAAGGGATGGGAAGGGGAAACAAAGGAGGAGGCTACAATGCTTGATAAGAGATGTACTCATTATCTTGCCCATGTAATTGAAACTCCTCTGTACAGTATTTTCACAATAAAAAAAATTATACAGTAAAAAAAACAACAAAATGTTCAAACATAAGTCAAAACATAAATTCTATTTTTATGACTAATTTTTAAATTATGCATGTAAAATTTCCTAGATATGCTTTTTTTGGGGGGGCCTGAACGCTAGGCCTGGGCACTGTCCCTCAGCTCTTCAGCTCAAGGCTAGCACTCTACCACTTGAGCCACAGCACCACTTCTGGCTTTTTTCTTTTTGCTTATGTGGTGCTGAGGAATCGAACCCAGGGCCTCAGGCATACAAGGCAAGCGCTCTACCACTGAGCCACCTTCCCAGCCCCTAGATATGCTTTTTAAAAAATCCTTTTTGAGTCTCTGAAGTTATCCTAACTTCTATAGGATTTTTAGAAAGGAGACTATTATATTCTGCAATGTCTAAGAATTATTGAGATGCTGGGAATGTGGCTTAGTGGTAGAGTGCTTGCCTAGCACGCATGAAGCCCTGGGTTCCATTCCTCAGTACCACATAAACAGAAAAAGGTAGAAGTAGCACTGTGGCTTAAGTGGTAGAATGCTAGGCTTGAGCAAAAAGAAGTTCAGGGACAATTCCCAGGCCCTGCGTTCAAGCCCCAGGACTGGCAAAAACAACAACAACAACAACAACAAAACTGGAAGTCTGGGGCTGGGAAGGTGGCTCAGTGGTAGAGTGCTTGCCTTGCATGCCTGAGGCCCTGGGTTCCATTTCTCAGCACCACATAAGCAAAAAGAAAAAAGCCAGAAGTGGTGCTGTGGCTCAAGTGGTAGAGTGCTAGCCTTGAGCTGAAGAGCTGAGGGACAGTGCCCAGGCCCAGCGTTCAGGCCCCACGACTGGACCCCAAAAAAAAAAAAAAAAAAAAAAAAACCTGGAAGTCAGAACCATAGACTATTTAAAATGGAAAGAGCTGAATACAACCTAGCCCAATGACTGCCCTCCATAGATGAATAAATAGGATTAGGGAAGAGTTGTGGTTTGATGGCTAGACACTGTCAGACTGAAACCAAAACCTGAATTTCCTCCTCCTTCCCATACATAACACACCACCACTCTTTAAAACTTTGCTCTTTGAAGAAGTGATCAATTAGGGCATGATTGAATTCAATTTGATTTAACAAAACAATGTATATAGGTATGTAAATACCAGATGAAACCTCATAAATATACAATGTTTCTGTTTTCAGGTATCAGTTTAAAAAATGAAATTAATTCTTTCTCTTTGGAGTGCCACCAACGATCCAAGTGTCAGCAGGGATAATGCGCCACCTGGTGTTGTAGGTATTGTCAGACCCAGCTGAACCAAAGGTATTCCTAGTACTAAGATGCACAACAGTGACCTGCGGCCAAAGAAGATAAAAGCGAATGAATTCCATTTTGTGGCCACCATGGTGTTAGATGAACAACTTTCTCCCACTTATTGGAGTTCACTTTCAGGAGCCAGATGGTGTGGTGGGGGCTGGAGGCAGTGTAATTCTAGCTACTGTAATCCTAGCTATTCTGGAGGCTGAGATCTAAGGATCATGATTTAAAGCCAGCCCAGGCAAGAAAGTCCATGAGATTTTTTTTTTTTTGGGGGGGGGGTCCAGTTGTGGGGCCTGAACTCTGGGCCTGGGCGCTGTCCCTCAGCTCTTCAGCTCAAGGCTAGCGCTCTACCACTTGAGCCACAGCACCACTTCCGGCTTTTCTCTTTTTGCTTATGTGGTGCTGAGGAATAGAACCCAAGGCCTCAGGCATGCAAGGCAAGCGCTCTACCACTGAGCCACCTTCCCAGCCCTTTTTTTTTTTTTTTGGTCAGTCGTGGGGTTTGAACTCTGGGCTTGGGCACTGTCCTTGCGCTCTTCAGCTCAAGGCGAGCGCTCTACCACTTGAGCTACAGTGGTTTATTGGAGATTAGAGTCTCACGGACTTTCCTGCCCCGGCTGGCTTTAAACGGAGATCCTCAGACCTCAGCCTCCTGAGTAGCTAGGATTACAGGGGTGAGCCACCTGAGCCCAGCTCCATGAGATTCTTATTCCCAATTAACCACCAAAAAGCCACAAGTAGTGTTGTGGCTCAAGTGGTAGAGCACCAACCTTGAGCCCAAAAATTCAAGGACAGTGCACAAGCCCCGAATTTAAACCCTGGGACCAGCACAGAGAGAAAGGCCAGGGGGAGGGAGGGAGAAAAGGGGAGGGAGGGAGAAAGGGGGAGAGAGGGGGGGAGGGGGAGGGGGAGAGGAGAGGGGAGGGGAAGGGGGAAGGGGGAGGGAAAGAGGAGGGGAAGGGAGAGGGAAAGAGGAGGGGAGGGGGGAGGGAAGGAGGGAGGGAGAGAGGGAGGAAGAGAGAGACAAGTTCCTAGTTACCGGAAAAGGAACCTAGTGAAAGATGGACTGTGTGGGGAGTGGGTGGGGAAAGGCCATTTACTTCCTCTCTTCTAGTCAGCCAGGTCCCTTGAGGGTTCCAGATCGCTGTGGTGAATGTTCATGCCATGCAGCAGTATGAGGCGGCTACTGCCACCAACAGTTCTGCTACTTCTAGGTAAGTCCAGGTCCCCTGGCTGAAGGAGAAGCTCCAGATGCTCTGAATTTATCAGAGACAGCTTTGCAGGGCAGAGATGGATCACCCTTCCCATCTTTATAGTCCCAGTGTAGAGGAGAGAGATGGTGGTTCTGATTTGGGCTTAATTGGGAGGTAAAAGAAAGGTGGGCAGTCAGTTAATTCACACCCCTGCCTCTGTTTCCTTATATGTAAATTGAAGACTATGAACTAGTTGGTCACAAAGGTTTTGTCTCTTCTAGTCTGACATGCCAGGGTTCCTGTCTAAATCTTTTCATTTCTACTCTTTCTGGGGGTCTTGGATTAAGGTTGTTTCTGTGGCTTAGTTCAGGAAAAGTCAATCTAATCTGTGTGTGTGTGTGTGTGTGTGTGTGTGTGATACTGAGAGAGAGAGAGAGAGAGGAGAGAGAGAGAGAGAGTACAAGGAGGCTTGCACTCAGGACCTCTACATTTTGCTTAGCTTTTTGGGTAAAGGTTGGTGTTCTGTTGCTTGAGCTGCAGCTCTACCTCCAGCTTTTTGCTAGTTAATTGGAGACAAGAGTCACACAAACTTTTTGGCCAGTCTGGCTTCATATCCTCAATCCTCAGACCTCACCAGCCTGAGTAGCTTAGGATCACAGGTTTGATCCAGCAAAGGCCAGGGGGAAATTCAGTCTTTACCCTTGTGACTTTTAACAGGGAACAAGAAGTAAGGGAACTGTGTTGAAAACAGGGATTCAGGGATTCAGTAGGGAAAGAGGCATAGACACTACATCTGGAAGGCAAGAAGCAGGAAAGGTATCCACTCTAAATAGCTTGATTCTGGGGTACATGGGCTTCCAAGGCAGGGATGAAAAGAAGTTTTAGATCATTCTATATTCAATATCTAACCCACACTTTTTCTTTTTTTTTTTTTCAGTTTCAGCTGGAGTGCTAGTTGGTGAGTTTGCTTCATAGTCTTGGATTGATTGATTGTCAAGGTCAAGTGATGTTGGGAAATTACCTTTGCATGGGAAACAGCTTTGCATGCAACAGTTGGTGTGGAATAGACAGGAACAGTTCTCAATTCAACCCTAAGCTTCTCTGACCACTTTTTCTCGAGCTGTAGGACAAGCCCAAAATGGAGCCAAGTGCCTCCCAATTAAGATGAACTAAGGCTGAGTCACAGAATCAGGCTATGTCACCCACACCATGCAGCATTAGCACTGGGCTCAACTCCCTGAAAATACCAGTATAGTGCTGCTCATCCGTGTGTTCTGCCCACATTCTCTTGACTCCTCAGCAGGTCTCCCAAAGGCTGTGGTGCTCCTAGATCCTCCATGGGCTAGAGTGCTCCAAGAAGACAGTGTGACTCTGAAGTGCCAGGGCACCTATCCTCCTGGGGACAATGCTACCCAGTGGCTACATAATGGAAGCCTCATCTCAAGTCAGACCTTCAGCTACTTCATTGAATCTGCCAGAGTTAAGGACAGTGGAGAGTACAAGTGCCAAACAAGCCTCTCCACACTCAGTGACCCAGTACAACTAGAAGTCCACATTGGTGAGTAGGTGATGGGGTGCAGGGAAATCACCAATAAAAGGCCCTAAAATGCTAGGCCTAAAATGCTGATGTACTTGGGATGTACTATACTATGAGATACAGAACTGCTGCCCTGAATAAATCCAGCAATTGCCTCTCATGGAGAACACATACAACATGAATGTGTCCCCTAAAAGTCAGAGTATAACACTAATGCTCAATAATATGCCTTACAGGTTTTATTGTTTTGTTTTGGCAGTACTAGGATTTGAATTGAGGCCCTTGAGAAGGCCACCACTTGAGTCAAGTCTCCAAGGCCTAACTTTGTATTTTGATCAGGCTTGTGTGCTCCATTAGACTAAAAGTCTTACTGTAGTGGGCGCTGGTTTCTTTTGCCTGTACTCCTAGCTACTCCAGAAGCTGAGAGCTTAGGATAGCTGTTTAAAGCCAGCCTGGGCAGGAAAGTCCATGAGACTCTTATTTCCAGTTAAACCAGCAAAAGCCAGAAGTGGAATTGTGGCTCAAATGGTAGAGTCTCTTGACTTGAGCAAAAATAAGTTAAGGTTTAGACCTAGGTCCTGAGTTCAAGGCCCAATATCAGTACACACACACATACACACACACACACACACACACACACACACACACAATCTTAGTGTGACCAGAAACCTGAATCATCTTAAAGAACCCAATCAGCTTTTTCCAAAAGTGAGCTCTGTAGGATGGCTTCCGGTGTCACTGGCTCTCCATTGCATCCCAGGATCTAGGTGGTAAATAGTGCCTTCCCAAGAGCTCTTCACTGATAACTTAGTCTTTTGGCCTGAGGTGTCTCTGTGTCTTTCAGGCTGGCTGTTACTCCAGACCACTCAGGAGGTGTTCCAGGAAGGAGAGACCATTTGGCTGAAATGTCACAGTTGGAGAAACAAACCTGTGCAAAAGGTCACGTATTTACAGGATGGCAAAGGCATGAAATATTTTCACCAGAATTCTGACTTCTACATTCCAAAAGCCACACGCAATCACAGCGGCTCCTACTTCTGCAGGGGTCTTATCGGGTCCAAAAACAAGTCTTCAGAGGCTGTGAAGATTATGGTTCAAGGTGAGAGCTATCTAGCCCTAGGTGGTCATGGCCCATTTATATGGAAGTACAGTCTCAGCAGCTTTCTATAGGGTTCCCTCCCGGTGACTAGTAGAGACCCGGAAAATCTCTGGTTGCTGGGAGGTTTACAGTTCTGTTCCAGTCTCCTCCTAAAGAGTAGCCTAGAGTATCATTCACTCAGTAGAGCAGGAGAGCAGCAGCAAAAGCCACATTGCTCTCCCATAAATACAGCTGTCTTTACCCCCAAACACCTGCAATGCCATGTGCCCAGGCATGGTGGCCCACTTTTTCTTGCATTCATTTCCCAAATAAGCATCAATTCTCAGTCAAGATCCAAACTGGCAGGAGCCCCTCTGTTCCTCTCAGAAAAGGCTCCAAATCAAGTTCTGTCTCCTTGGTTGATTTAACTGTGACTATGGGTGAGTCACTCCATCTCTCTGGACCTCAGTTTCTTCTCTGTAATAAAGACAAGCTGCTACTAATCTGACACTTTCACAATGTGCTAGATTCTTTACATACACACCTGGTTTTACCATAGTAATGAACTTTCATGTCATGAAAGTTCATTACTATGGTAATGACTCCATTTTATGGACAAAGTAATATACAATAAATAGAGAAAACAATAATTGTCATAAGAGTACATCAAAGACTTCAAAACCTGAATATGTGACCATTAGTAAAATGAAGCAAGCTGGGTACTGAGTGAGGACTCATGCCTGTAATCCTAGCTACTCAGGAGGCTGAGATCTAAGGATCAGAGTTCAAAGCCAGCCTGGGTAAAAACTTTTATCTCCAATTAACCAGCACAAAGCTGGGGGTAAATTTGTGTCTTAAGTGGTAGAATACCAGCCTTGAGTGAAAAAGTTAAGGGATAGCACCCATGCCCCAGTACCAATACAATGTCCCCAGACTTTGTGATTTCACAGGCCTTCTGCCTATAACTGGGCCCAAATTTAAATTGTAAGCTATTTAATATTGTAAATTGTTGAAATTTAAAGGCAGCAATACACCTTTTAATTTTTTATTTTATTTTCCAGCCCTGGGGCTTGAACTCAGGGCCTGGGCACTGACCCTGAGCCTTTTTGTGCTCAAGTCTAGCATTGTACCACTTGAGCCACAGTACTCTTCCAGCTTTTTCTGAGTAGTTTGTTGGAGATAAGAGTCTCATGGACTTTCCTGCCCCTGGCTGGCTTCGAACTACAATCCTCAGATCTCAGTCTTTTGATTAGCTAGGGTTATGGTTATGAGCTATATCCAACTACCTTTTAATTTTTTAACAGAGCTATACTATAATTTGGACAAAAGCTAATTTTATTATACTTTGCTTTCTCTTTGGAAATACTGAAGTTTTTTTGAAAAGTTGGTGAATCCAGAGATACAGAACCTATGGATATAGCGAATCTAGTGTATGCTTAAATGTTTAGGGAAACAGAAAATGATAAGTAAATGAGATAAAATATGAATAATCAGTTTGAAATTATATTAAAGTAAAAGTGATGGTACTAAAATTTGCAATTTGTGTGAACTTATTAAAGAGAAAACTATCTCCTGCTGGGCACTGGTGGCTCATGCCTGTAATCCTAGCTACTCAGGGGGTTGAGAACTGAGGATCGAGGTTTAAAGTCATCCATGGCAGGAAAGTCCATCAGACTCATCTCCAATTAACCACCAGAAAAATGCAAGTGGATATATGGCTCAAAGTGGTAAAGCACTAGCCTTGAGCAAAAGAGCTCAGGGACAGTGCCCAGCCCCTGAGTTCAAGCCCCATGCCCATGAAGGACAAAAAGTAAAAATAAAGAGAAGAGCATCTCCTAACTTTGATGTATGGGGCAGGGTGTGAGGGGGAAGGGCTTGAAATCGAGGCTTGGATGCTATCCTTGAACCATTTTGCTCAAGGCTAGCATTCTACTACTTGAGCCACAACTTACTTGGAGATAAGAGTCTCCTAGGCTGCTTTGCTGCCTGGACTGGCTTTGAACCATATATCACAGCCTCCTGAGTAGCTAGGATTACAGATATGAGACACCAGTGCCTGGCCATTCCTTGGCTTTTTGACTCAAGGCTGAGGCTCTACCACTTGAGCCACAGCTCCACTCCTGGCTTTTTGGTGGTTAATTGAAGACAAGTCTCAGATTTGATTGCTTGGGCTGGCTTTGAACTACAATCCTCAGATCTCAGCCTCTTTAAAAGCTAGGATTACAGGCTTGAGCTGCTAGTACCCTGCTGTCTGACAATTTTTAATTGTCATACCCCTAACAACAATCTAACTTACTGAATACTCCCTGCTGCATCTCCACCAACAAGCAGAGGCTGAGGCTAAAAATCTGATGAGCTGGGCTCAAGCTCTAGCAGCTGAGATTGAGAGGAAATGAGACACAGCAAATATTCCTCCAGGCTCCCCCACCAGGGGAATACCCTAGAACCTGGTTCCTAATAGGTGTCAGGAAGCCTGTCCACCAGTGACCTCACTGTTCATTCCAAATTCTGCCTTCTTCTACCAGGTCCAGGATCTCCAACCATCTCACCAGTCCTGCCGTGGCCCCAAATCACTTTCTGCCTGGTAATGGGAGTATTGTTTGCTGTAGACACAGGACTATATTTCTCTGTGCAGAGAAACCTTCAAAGCTCAATGGAAGACAGGAGGAAACACAAATTTCAGTGTCGCCTAGATATTCAGGACAAATGACCCCTTGTCTCCCAGGGCAATAAGAGCAGTGGCCACAGAATCTATGAACCTCTCTCTGGTTATCTACATCAGACATCTGGAGCAGCAGGGGAATACAACTCAGAGCCTAGGCTCAGGCCCTCCTCTAACTCTCTTGGTCTCCAATAAAAAGGACAAGCTTACAACCTTCAAGGGCCCACAAAGAATCCCTGGTGTGTAACACCTCTCTATTGAAATCTCATCCAGTTCTGAAATCTCATCCAGTTCCTCACAGCAAAGTGACAACCCGGGCTCTGGAAGTCGACCCTTTAAAAGTAGAATAACTAGCCAGGCACTGGTGGCTCACGCCTGTAATCCTACCTACTCAGGAGGCTGAGATCTGAGGATAAAGGTTCAAAGCCAGCTCAGGCAAGGAAAGTCTGTGAGACTCTTATCTCCAATAAATCACTAGAAAACTGGAAGTGGCACAGTGGCTCAAGTGGTAGAGCACTTGCCTTGAGCTGAAGAGCAGTGCCCAGGCCCAGAGTTCAAGCCCCACAAGTGACAAAAAAAAAAAAAAAAGTAGAATAACTGTCCATAAATAAATGGATAAGAAAATGAATGGATTAAAGATTGAGGCAGACTCTGCCTTTTTGTGCCTGAGGGCTGACTCCCTCAGGGGACCCGAATTCCAGACTGAGAGAACTGCTGGGGATCTAGACAATTCAGCAGAACTGATGAAGGTGATGGCTGAGGATGGAGTGAGGAAGCATGACAGATCAAGGGAGGTACTTCCATCTGGGCCCAGAGATAAAACTTCCTTCTTATTGCAGGCACTGTGGCCCAATTGCCAGAAATCACATCATAACATTGACAAGAGTTGTTTTTCCCCTAAGGGAGTTTCTAGCAAAAGTAGGATGGTTTATGAATACATAATGATAATTCTTTTAATGCTATGAGTAGAAAATAAACGTAAGAAGGACTGAAAGAGTTTAAAAGAAAGCACAAAATAAACTGCATTGTGCTGCATACACAGAGATAACTCAGCATCTGAATTGAGAAAGTATGTCATGAAAAAGTCACCCACAAGTTCACAGGAAGGAAGGGGCCTCAGGAGGAAGACAGCTTTGTTCACCAAAGTAGTCAAAATTAGAGAGCACAGGAGCAGGAGCTATAAAAATCAGCTTTTCTGCCCCAGTATCAAACTCAGAACTCTGTTCATATCATTCATTAAACCAAAGTTGGCTGGGGGGAAGGGGAATGTTCTGAACTGTACTGAATTGAATTAGGAAACTCTGAAATCTCTTCAGCATGTCAGTAGCAATGGAATATTGCGGTTGGAACAGGTAATTGTTGCTTTCTGAAAGAAAGCTTTCATTCTTTTCTGCTTTCGATATTTTTAACAGCATTTCTTGCTTTCAGTAAAGCATTTTATAAGATCTTGGATGCTACCCTCAGAAGATGGAAAAGACATGACAATAAAACATGAATGACAAAGCCTTTTTTTCCCTTCCTTTTGTCAAAACTCTGAGATTGGTTTGTATTCATGAAAAGCTCCTCTTCACAGTAACCTCTTACCGAAACCCAGGTGAACTATGGAGCTTGCTTTCCAAGTCACTAGCAAGTGAGTCAGTGAAGGAGATGGGGATTGTGGGTGGCATGGGATAGGCAGGTTCATTTGGTACACTAGGGCTGGTAGGAGAGTCCACAGCTAGGCAGAGGCAGAGGCCTGTATGAATTAAAAGCTCATAGAATCAAGGCCATTCAAATGAAGTGTATGGCTACTAGATGAGATTTAGAGATGAGAAAAGAACATATGGAAACCTTGGCCATTTGGCTCCCATTCATTTAGTGTATCCAACTGAAATATAGGTGCTGTGAAGATCACATGAACAACTCAAAAGTCATTCATTGCAGAAACTTTCATCTTAGGAGAATGAAGAAAGAGGAGCAGAAAAGAGGCTATTTGGGATATGGTCACGAAAGATGAGTTAGGAGTTTGCTGAAAAAAGAGAAAAGACAAAGGTCAGGGGCAAAGAGTCAAAAGCTAAATTTGGTTCTGTCTAAAACAGCCGGTGAGGAGGAAGGGAGTTCTGGGGCCAGGGTGTGCCAGGCACTACTGCCCAATTTAAGGAGATTGCATCAGATACCGAGAGCCTGTAGGAAAATTTAAGCCAATCAGGTTTGTTGTTCAAAAGGACCTCAGTAGAGGTCCCGAAAGAAAGAGCTACAGGAAAGCCTCTAGGCGGGGCTGGTAGGTATTGCGGTAACCCCAGAGGAAACAGGGAGGCAGGGAATCAGCGGCTGAGAGGTTTCCAGGTGTCTCGTCTAAAAGATAAGTAGGTGGCAGACTCCAAGATCTGGAAGTTAGTGACTCAGGACCACAAGTTCAAAGTGATCTCCATGGTCTGGGAAGGTGGCTCAGTGGTAGACTGCTTGACTTACATGAGGCCCTGGGTTCAATTCCTGATCACCACATAAGCAGAAAAAGCCAGAAGTGGCGCTGTGGCTCAAGTGGTAGAGAGCTAGCCATGAGCTCAAGAGCTGAGGGACAGTGCCCAGACCAGAGTTCAGGCCCCAGGACCAAACAAAAAAACAAAGTGGTCCCCATCTGTACAAGACAGGAAATACAGACCAGACAGGCATGTTGTGTTGCTGGTTGAAAAAGTAGGACTTCAGCTTTGGGATATGAGAACTGTAACTTCCTTTGGTTTTTACATTCTCGTAAGGTGTCAGCTTCAAGACGCAATTACCGGGGTTAAGCAGCTAAACCAGACGCAACCCTCAGACCAACTGCTTCTCAGACTAACTGCTTCACATCTGCGAGCAAAACATCTAACCTGGGTAGGCTGGGCCACCAACGAGGGTTCTTCTAGCGGTCGTCTAGTTAGCCAAGCAAGGTACTCCCATCATCAACTGTCTCACAAAACGTACAGGCTCCCGTCCCTGGGTGGGCTCGAACCACCAACCTTTCGGTTAACAGCCGAACGCGCTAACCGATTGCGCCACAGAGACAGGCGGCAGCTATGCTCGCTAACAAGTCAGTTCACTGAAGAATGAATTCATAATATTTGCCGTTTCTAAAATCTATGGCGGAAACTAAAGCGGAAACCAGCGAAATTCTCAACTTTCCCGTCAGCAGGGCACGGAGCCCGCAAGCATCTCCCCCGCCCTGCGCGAGCTAAGACTTGGAAACTGAGAAAAGGAAACAGAAATCCACGCGAGAGGGCCCTTGGAAAACAAAACGGATGCTTCTGGGGGGTTCGGCGTTTGGTTAGTTTCTCTCAAACACAGGTCCATAAATTACTTTGTTGGTCAAACGTGAATACCGACTTACAGTGGTGTATCGCGTGGCCAATCATGTCTCGCGAAACGGGATATCTAAGTAAGGGCTCTACATACAACAAAATGAGCCTGCAATTGGAGCTGTGCTGAAGGTCTGCTAGCATTTTAGGTACCCAGACAGAACATGGAGGTTTTTTAATTTATTAATATAATTTTTCTGCTATTATTAAGGTGTTGTACAGAGAGGTTACCATTTCAAAAGTCAAGTAACGAATTCATTTCTTTTTTGGACAAGTCACCCCTTCCTTTGCTTTCCCCCCACTTTCCTCCTCCCATCCCTGCCCATGAGTTACATAGGTCATTTTCCAGGTAGTGAATACTTAATAGTATAATTGCATTTGTTCACCCTTCCAGAACTTGGGGTTTTTTAATTGCCTGTAAATTAAAGATGTTCACACATATCTGGACCCCAATACTGAAAGACAGAGATGTTACCTACACTATCATTTTCAGACTAGGGGTTCCTCATCAGTGCTGGGCCTAATGAGTCATTTTGTATATTGCCTGAGTCCCCAGCACCTTCTGGACCCTCCACACAGAATCTCCTCCTTCTTTTCTTTAATTTTTTATTTTTAATTTTTTTATTGTGAAAATACTGTACAGAGGGGTTACAATTACATGGGCAAGATAATGAGTACATTTCTTATCAAGCATTGTAGCCTCCTCCTTTGTTTCCCCTTCCCATCCCTTCCCATCCTCCCCACCCCCCCCTCCTTGCCCACCCCAACCAAAGTTGTAAAGTTCGTCTTGGACATAAGGACTTGTACATCTCATTGTTGCAATGGGTCCACCTGTATCCCTATTTAAACGATTTGTTTTTCCCCTTCCCCTCCACAAATTATACCGACATCAAATACAGTGAAAACAGGGGTTATACTGTGGGGGAGGGACATACAAAGCAACAAAGAAATAATCTTATAAATGTGTGAGAAACAATCGCTTGAAAGAAAAAAAAAACATTTGAGTACATATCTTAGGATTCATTTCCCTAACATCACCTTATCTGACCTTTTCTGCTTGACTCAAACATATACTAGATATTGCAAATAAGGGAAACCATAGGACCTATGTTTCTTTGAGCCTGGCTTACTTCACTCAATATAATTTTTTCCAAGTCTTTCCATTTCCTAACAAATGGGGCAATGTCATTCTTTCTGATGGAGGCATAGAATTCCATTATGTATATATACCACATTTTCTTGATCCATTCATCTACTGAGGGGTATCTGGGTTGGTTCCATATCTTAGCTATAGTAAATAGTGCTGCAATAAACATAGTCGTGCTGGTAGCTTTAGTGTGGTCTTGTTTGTAAACATTTGGGTAAATGCCCAAAAGTGGGATTGCTGGCTCATAGGGGAGCTCTATGTGGAGTCTTTTGAGGAACCTCCATACTACTTTCCAAAGTGGTTGAACAAGTTTACACTCCCACCAACAATGCAGTAAGGTTCCCTTCTGTCCACATCCCCTCCAGCATCTGTTGTTTTTAGAGTTCTTGATTTTAGCCATTCTAACTGGAGTGAGGTGGTATCTCAATGTTGTTTTAATTTGCATTTCTTTTATGGCTAGGGAGGTTGAGCATTTCTTCATGTGTCTATTGGCCATCCTTCTTTCCTCTTCAGAGAAGTTTCTCTTTAAGTCTTTAGCCCACTTATTTATTGGGCAGTTGTTTCTTTGAGGATTTGTTGTTGGGGGATTTAATTTTTTGACTTCCAAGTATATTTTAGATAGGAGACCCTTGTCCTCCTTTTCTGTACTCCTGTGAGCAGTAGGAGGTTCTGGTTACCGAAGACAGTAAGCCAGCCTCAGGCCCATTCAGTGGAGCATCCGGTAGAAACTTCCTTGCTGGATTAATCAACCGTTCCCATTAAGAAACAACCAGAAGAGCTCCCCTATGACCCAGCAATCCCACTTTTAGGCATTTACCCCAACGATCACAAACAAGGGTATACTAAACCTACCAGCACAACTATGTTTATAGCAACATTATTCACCATAGGTAAGGTATGGAACCAACCCAGATGCCCCTCAGTAGATGAATGGATCAGGAAAAAGTGA